AAATGAAAAAAAGTTAGAAAAATAAAAATGATAGATGGATCTATAATTTGCTAGCAATATGCAACGCTTATCTGGATCATTAGATCTAGTAGTTGGGAATTGTCAAATATAATATTTTACGATTCACTATTTTTCTACAACAAAAGTATAGAACTTTATTCGCTCCATATCCTGCACCGACTGTTAATTATTACAGTACAATAAATATTATAGCGATATCAGGAGACTTAACGGTGAGTGTGTCAGTAGTTAATAGATAAGGTAATCTCTTGGCACACACTCGCATGGGTAAACAAGCATCCTGAAAGGAATTCTTTGATATATCACGTACTATAATCCTCGTTGTATGAACAATTCAATCTATCAAATATAAGCGCCTATTATTTAGTAGCATGATAAAAATTACAATAAAGGATATAAGAATAGATTAATATAATTTATATTTAAATTTAATAAAAGTTTCCACAGCATTCGTGAATAGAACGAATCTCGGGATTTGTAAAGTACTTTAAATAGTCGGCGGTACTTCAGGCGCGGCGTCAGACATCGATCGGGCGCACTCTCCGCTATCTCTAGTACACACATGGATCTAGTGCCTTTTTAAAATTAAAAATTATATTGTTTTCTGAATTTTACAAATTTTCCTTTCTAGCTATTTGTAATTTAAATAATTCAAACTTTCGTGAGACATTACAACAAACTTACATAAGAAACGGCTAATAACTCACGTATATTCGTCCGATAGCGGGACCGACTAGTTTACATGAGTGTTTAGCCGATTTTTATATAAGTTTATTTGTAATTTGTAATAAATTAATAATTGTCTTAAGTTTTTTTTTCCCGAGCTTATTATTAGCTATAGCTAGTTTATCTATTATACATTTACAGGATTGTATTCCCATTTATATATTTTTTTTGTAAAAGTGTCAGTGTTTAAAAGAAAATTTAGGATGGTAGTGTTGTGCAATTTCTGTTTGTTTTTGAGTCAACAAAGCTGATACGGAGTATAAACAAGATGGACATAAGATACTAATACTTATTTAGCTCTTCTTATAAATCTATATCTTATTATTGTTATATCAAAATAACAATTTTATCCGAAAAAACATCAAACAAACCTATTCCATTCACATTCGTAACCTTAGTAACGTATAAAATATAAAATGTATATGATTTGAATTACATAAAATATGTGATTGTTACATAATGTAATATTTTCTATTACCCACGTCGAGATAAGGTGTGAAATGCAGCGACAATAACCTTCAGGCGACTGCCGGCAATATCCGGCAGCGCTTTCCTTCTTCACTCCGCGTCGCATCGCATTGTATCGATTATCATAAATATACTTTATTTATTATAAAAAAGAACTCTTGTTTATCTTACTAATATTATAAATGCGAATGTTTAGATGGATGGATGGAGGTTTCTTTGAACTTCATTCTTTCCAGAAAAGCGGAACGCATCTAGATAAAATTTGGCGTACATACAGATCATAGTCTGGGAGACCACATGGTGATGATTTTTTTTTAATTTCGCGCGGACGGAGTCGCGAGCAATCACTTGTTTTATAATAAATTTTAAGGAATTAACTTGTGTGTCCTAGTAACTAACTTTAGGTTATGTCTACATAAAAAAGTAAATGGGAAAAATAAATAAACCCGATTAACATCTTAATTTTTATGAGCATTTTACACATGTTATTAAACTGATTATTGAATCTAAAGACATATATACCGGCAGTATTTATTCGAACTAATAAATCTATTTACAGAATTAAAGTCTTTGAAAATTTCCTTCAATAATTTACTATTTCCACCATTTAAATTATTTGTATAATAATCAAATTATTAATTCAAGTAACTCTAGCAAGAAAGTAATCTTTACTTCAGAAAGTTAAAGACAGAATATAACGGTTAAGAAATTCCTATAGTCTTTCTTCTTTATTTTTTAGGGTTCCGTACCTCGAAAGGAAAAAAACAGAACCCTTATAAGATCTCTTTGTTGTTAGTGCATTTGTCTGTCAAGACCCTTTTTTAGTATAAAATGAAATATTAACATGAATATTAAATGTTATTCAAGACATGTTACACAGAAACTTCAATTTACAAATAATTAAAGCAACACCCACGACTTCATAAAGATAACTCTGTGTATAATTTGCAAATTTTACTACAACCCTGCATTAATTATGTATTAATATTAAGTGTGCGTTAATTAACATTTTGATATGTAGCAACGCAATATTAAAATATTCTTTCATAATTTAAATTTTAGTAAAAAAAAAATAAAAAACACATTCAACCAGCATCATCGCAATGTACGAGTACAATCAAAAACTAAAAAGATTTTTAAACACTAGATATTATAAAACACTCTCTAATCCGTATAATCTGTTTCCCGTTAACTTTGAAAGCAAAATAGAGTTTCAATTTTCATGAACAGAAATATGTAGGAAAGATAGGAGTTGCTAGAACAATAAACTTTTTTATAAGCAATAATTAACAAAAAAAAATGACATAAAAATTAACGTTTTTGAATTACGCGTCATTGTAATATACTTAACCTACTGTTACCTATTTTGCAATAAGCATAATTAATTGATGCATGCTTGCATAATGATGTCACCGTGTAGAAAATATCTGTAAATTCCACACCTACAAACAAATACATCTTATATTTTATGGCGACTGCGTTTGAGTTAATCTATGCGTGTTCTGTCACATTTAAATATCGTAGCGTGACCCAATATTTATTAAATTGAATTGTATTTTTCAGGTGTTAATTAGTTAATTCGGCTATGAAATTAATTGATTTAATTGGCAAAATTAAAATTTATCTATTTCTGTTTTTAACAGTGAAATAAAGGTAAAGAAACATTCTCTAGAAAAGGCTAATTGTTGACTGATTTTGAAGTAAATAATTAAGCGACCTAATTGATTAGAAGTGAAATAAAACTAATATTTTTAAAAGTCAAATCTAATACAACATTTAAATTTAATGGATTACATAACTAACAAATTAACTAGACAAAAAATTCTTTTGTGTGCGCCTTCAAAATATTCAAAAATAATAGCCTAGCCTACGAATTAAATTCTATACAATATTATTAATTAATATGAAGCCTTTATTAATATCTAAAACAGAATAATAATGATTTCCAAATTAAACTTGCGATTAATTTTCAACGTAAAATAAGAACAAAAAAAGAATTATTTTCACATTGTAATATTAAATGTAAAATAATATGCGCAATTATTTTTTATTACTTGTTAATCTAAACTAAGCGTGACCACAAATTCGTTGTGAAAACACTTAGCATACACGTAAACAGAGGGAGGCGTGGTTTGTGGTAATGTTCGTTTAAAACTGCGTACGCCAGCATGTTCTAACATTTGTGACTCAGCACAATAAAGTGCTGTACCGATGCCGCGACCACGCTTAATGATCGTTAACGTCGTATGTACTTAGAGATAATTTAAATGCAATCCACTATTAGCATCTTAACGACTACTTGATGAATTAATTATATTACTAATGAACCATGATATCATACTCTTAATGAAATTCGACTAGATCTCATAAAATCGACTAGATCAACATTAGTTAGCTCGTATGAGATTTCGAAATCTACGTCACTAAAGATATCATTCGTTCAATCCTGCTTTTGAATATTCTGTAACTATATATGTAAGTACAGCAGTGGAATTGTATCTACGATGATAATGTCTACATTGTATTTACGTTACCCGCGCTGTGACTTGAATGCTCAATTAGTAGTCTAAGAGCAATATGCAATATTCATTATACCAGCAATACGTCCATTAAAGTTTTAAATAGAGTTTGTTATCTTTGAATACATATTATAAAGCTTACGTAATTTTAATATGATAATAGTAAATTGAATAAGGACTATGTGAACCGTACTGAACTTAGACTATGAATAAGATAACTGAAAGGACTTACCGTATTCTTCTTGAGATAGTTGCGGGCTGCCCTCTCTCAAGGCATAGTCGGCGTCGTCGACGGGCGCCGCCGCGCGCGCCCCGCACCAGGGCACGCAGCAACGGAAGACCCCGCCTCCGACCACTTTGGAGCCGTCACCGCGCTACAATCCAAAGCGCTCGCCGTCTCCTTAACACTAATTAACACGCACCACCTCTTCACAAGTACAATCACGCACATCAGCAATGTTCACACCACTCAGATATCACTTTTCCCGACGACTGTACACGAAGAAGAAATCTAAATAACTTTTGGCACTTAAAGGTATAACAAGCAGAGAGTAACAAGTATAAAGTTCTACTTCAGTCTTGGAAGTTAGCGAAGTTAAAATATTGATATGTCAGTCTGATGTAAGATCTTCAGATTGATTCTGTAATTTTATAGGGTTTTTATTCAAGTAGCCAATGGAGATAAATCAACTAGTGAATCTAAATATATAGTATTTTAATTATTGTTTTATTAACATACGGCTACGTGATACAACCGATTTGCCACAAAGCATTTCAAATGTACTATCAACTTGATTGAATTTATTAAAGGTATTTGAAACAGTTGGTTGAGCCAAGGCAAAGTGGTTGGAGCTAAGTATTTACGAGCCGAGTTAACTGGAATTACCAGTTGTATATTATGAAATATCATCATAAAGCAAAGCTTACATTTCTATCATAACTTAATTATCGTCTTCTAAGCTAAAAGAATTTTACGTTCATAGGAAATTCTTTAAACATTCCGGTCTTTTGAACAGTTTTTTCTAAAACAATATAAACTGTTTCATGAAAGAAACATGATAGATTGAGAGTGGCTGAATAAACGAAGATGCATTGAAGGCGCGTGTCATCGACTGTCGAGAACGAAACGCATCGCGAGACTTGCTAATAAAATGATTCGTGAGAAAATGTTGGCGTTTAGCCAATTAGAGCCACAGTCGTTTATCATTGATTTATTAATTTCAAAACGGCACACGCCAACAATTGACATTGCATTTGAATATAGCGTGAGATTAATGTAGGAAAAAAATGTTGATACATTTTACACAGTATTTTTCAACAAACGTAAACAATCGGTATGGATTAAATGTAAACAAAAAATACGCTAAACCTTTTCCTGGCGGATTTGAAATGAAACGACATAATCGCTAAAGAACAAACACAAAGAAAATGTAAGCCTTTGTATTTACTTGTAACATACTCTGCGGTTATTTATGCGAGATGAAGTTGAGAATTCACCAGTTGAAAAAGAAATGGATTTGCCAAAGGGTGTTTTCTGAAACCAATAAATATTTTGGGGTTTAAAAGAAAAAATATTTAGGAATTTCTTTTTTAAAATATCTGGGACCTGTGTTTTATGAATTTAAATCGTAAATTACAGTTAATTGGATTGAAAAATCAAGAAAAATGTTGTCATTTAAATTACTGGAAAAAAAATCACTTGAAACTGTTAAAAGAAATGTTGTACGATTTGTTTTCGGTGTCGCGCTAACTCAACACGAGTTATTTCGTAGCAAATGCGCGACATTTTAATATTGTGATAAATGGAATCTGCGTGAGTTTAATATAACCTCTACTATGTATAATTCGCATTCTTATTGAATTTATATCATTGAATATATCTCTACCTTCCGAAAATATTTTAAACCGGAATTAATTTTACTCTAGTACATTTCACAGATTAGTTAAAGATGTTTTGTTAAGATTTATTTTATTTTAACAAATTCTTACTATAATCATATATATGAAAATAAAAACTTTACTGAAAAAAAATTATGTGTGGTCCTAGTTACGCTAAATATATCGCTTGAGCCTTAAAAAGGTAGGCAGGGAAGAATATTATTTATTCTATATCAATGAAATATTTCAATGTTAATAATGTCACCAATACTCTTATTTCCTTTAAATATTAGATCAATAGTATTTACAAAGGCAATAAACTTCGGAAGCGTAGTATAAAAATTAAATAATCTTTAATGGAACACATCGAGAATGGCGTAATATGTGACCTCAATTGTATTAATGTAAATTTACTGAACACGCCCATACAAGGACTGGCCACTAGCAAACTGAGTCGATACAATGAACAATGTAATAAATAGAGACGACCGACCGGCAAATGGGTTCTGTATAAATTGACAGCTAGCACAAATACACCGTCATCAGAACTCAAACACAACCAATTACTTCTAGTTGAGCGGTCACTGGGTTCAATTGCTAAATCATTTTTGATGATAACTTCGCAAAATTGCCACTGACGCTATCGTCGTTGTATCCATATGAGTTTCTCCATCTAAGTACAGTGTTACATCGGATAATCAAATCAAAATCACATTAGAAAACGATATAATGGTCAATATTTAGTGTATCCGTAGCCGTATGTATGTACAGATGTAGAGACGTAAGAAGTGTGACCGTTGTTAACATCGTATTTATTTGTGTTACAGTTTTACCAACAAACCGACAATGTATCTCTTTATAATAAATGTAAGTATATAAAAGTCAGCAGCGGTTAGATATCACCAGCTAATGGCTGCATCTATTTTTAATCTACATACTACCTATAGCCTGAGATAAAATTAAACGTTGTTGTTTTATCTTATCTCAGATGTAGTAACATAATCTCTGTGTCGTTTGTGACGACTTTTTGTTATTTTTATCGACAAACATGTCTGTTGCACAAGCTTATTTTTATATAATCTTATATATTATTATTATTTTATATATCAATTATGTTTTGCTAATGTCAATACTCGTAGAGTGTAATATTGTGGGACTTCATGTTTGAGTTGAGCTGACTGTTTGCAAACATTCAACAAGTAACCAATACTCTAAAATCGATATTGGTCTTGAAGATTATGTAGACGAGATTAGATTGTTTTATTTACATTTCGCTTTATCTATCATGTTCTGTTTAGTATTTTATTAAACCGTAGTATATATTTTATATCTGATATTTGCAAACCTGCGTATTACGTGTAAGAATGGAACTGTTTAAGTGTATGTTACGTCGCAAATTATGATGATAAAATCGTGATCTATGTATTATGGATAAAAAAAATGTTACGTCAATGTATCTGTCAGATTCTACTATACAACTCACTAGAAAAGAGAACACGTTCACGAAATCACATAACTGTGATAAGCATGTATGTATATTTTCACAGAGCGGTGCTAATATGTAACAATGCTCCAGTAACACACTGTACTAGATAATGTGCGATTGAACGGAGCTAAGGGTCGGGGGCCAAGGCAGAGGCAGAGGGGCTCAGAGTAGAGTAGGCAGCAGAGTAATGCATCACACGCGCGTAGTCAAGGTGCGCGTTAGGCGCGCGGCGGAGCGGCCCTGGACGTCGCGTCTCGCGGCGGGCGGACCGCGACTGGCCGCGCTGCGCTGCAGCCTACCGCGCCGCCCGCCGCGACGCCCGCCGCGACGCCGCGAGCGAGACGCACATACACTCCGCTCTGTGCACGACCTACGATTCTAGCCCTTGAACCTTTTCTCTTAATTCCCATTTACCTTGCCCGAAGCCGGTCCCTTATGTTTTTGTGCGACCGCTAAAGGGTTTTCACCCCGCGTAGCGTTCATTCCCATGGACGTTACGTAGACGGGGATGCTGTATTTTCTTACTCGGTGGCCTGATATTAGATCACTACTGAACGTGTTTTTATCTTTTTTATCTTGAATAATTTATTATTGTTAGTTATTGTATAATCTCTATAGTAAATATTAATATTTTCGAAAAAGCGCAAAAGCAATAGTTTAGTACCATGAAAACTTTATCCCGTTGAATATCGCATTTAATAAAAATGTACATCGTCAATAACTATGTTGTGTATATGTTTCGGATCCCGGATATACAAGATTTTTTAACACTTCCGGTAACATTTCTGAGTTTTGACGTAACATAGTAAATACATAAACGTAGCATAAAGGTTAACGCTGATTCGTCTACTCCTCTCCCACCCGACAACGCCTTGCCGCTGCCTCGACATCGCCAACTGAGCGGGATAAAGATACAAAAAATAGTTTTCAGGAGAACAATTCGAATATATCTATCATGCAACAAATCTATCTTACGTTATAAGACATGCATTCAGTCATACAAAGCACATTTAAGCAAAAAAATGATAATCAAAAATATCACACGAAAATGTCTATGAAAGCCGAAACATATTCCAGGGTGCGATGCGTCGTGATTCGATGCCTTGTCAACACCTTACGGATTACGCGCCGTCCGTATTTTGCTAACAAAACATCTTTATCATGCTCAATCGGCGACGTCGATTCCGGCTAGATGCGAAGTGGACGAATGCGCGTTAACATTTAGTCTACAACTTCGTTTACACAAACACTTGCATAGCAATGCTAAGAGAAGATGTTAATTGAAAAGTAAAACTGGCGTTTTAAATTTCTGTGTGAGCATGAAAATACATAAAACAAATATAATTTACGTAACGATGAAGATTTATTACATCCAAAAATTAATTAAAAAAAACTTTATTCTATCTATCTGTATGAGATTTCCTCGACCAAAAGTATACTAAAATAAGATAAAGGATGTACAAATATTCCAAAACGCATCAGGATTTTGTTGTGATGTATATAAGTATTAATGGACAGAAAGTACCTTTGTCATATGTTCCCTTGATTAAAATACAACTTAATTAGTCATATTTTTGAGTGATGTAATTATTTCAGAGTACGGTTACATCTTAATTATGAGACTAATAAGTAACGAACTCTAAATTTAAGCCTAGCTGTGTCATCCATACTGAAATGAAAGCGAACTCCACCCGAAAGACTTACGGCATCATTTATTTTAGCACTTAAAAGATGAAATATTCATGGATATTATAGAAATACGAAAATACTAAAACCTTTTCGTAGGTAAATAAAAGTAATAACTTAGAGTTTATAAATCCATTCTCTTTGAAAAGAAAGAAAATGTATTTACAGGCCTCGATGCCCAATTTTATATTTCAGAATAAATATATTAGTAACCATAAGATAAGCTGTAAAACCTTATTACTAACTTTGTAAAGCACATTTTTTTATTTTGTTTTGGATGAAAATTCATTGTTCCGTGATGTAGAGATATTAAAAATATATATAAACATGATACAAATAATCGGTAATCGATGCAAAATAAAGTTATAAAAATAC